GGTGAGATTTTAGCTCACTCCTTGATAGCTGCACTGGCTCAGTCTCAGCTAAAGTCTTATTTTCATTAAAGGAGCAGACATGCTGAGGAAGAAGGTGCTATTTTTACACAGGGACTTTTTCTACTGAAACCACATGATAACACTATGCTGTTAAAATGATCCCAAGCATGCTGAGTTAGCTGAAAAAACAATACCCCTATTGCCAAAATCAAGGCCGTACCATTCTGAGCCTCTTCCAAGCCCTCCCAGCTCTTTCTCCTGGGTAGTCAAGAGGAGAAGATTGGGAGGGGAGCTGATGGGATGTAAAAGTTACAGGTGAAGCGGAGGTCGCTTATGGTTGGTTACCTATGAGAAATTGTTCAAATTCTTGGTTAAGGCCACCAGTCATTAATCTATGAAAAGTTTTATTATTCAGATATTTGCACATCACCGATATTTGTTGAGTATTGATTTTATTCTAGATATATTTTTAAAGTAAAACTAGCATAAAATAAACTAAAACTAACTTTAGAACATTATAAGAAGTTTAGGCAGAGGCCTTCCAACTCTAGTTTTTTTTAGCCACTATTTTTATAGATTATAATAATAAAATCTATAATTACCATGGAATATTATATGACAGGTGCTATACTAAGCATTTTACAAAAATTATTTCATTTAGTCCTCAGAATAATCTTGCAAAGTAGCTATTATCTCCATGTATAGAAGACAATGCTTCCTTTCCTTTTCTTCCTTCCTTTTCTGATGATAACTGTCACATTATAAGTTATACTCACTAGAAAGTGACTGTGCCGGGATTCAAGCTTAAGCGTAAATATCCAGCGTCAAAGGCTGTGCTCTTTTCCCAGGCTGTGCACCATCTCTGAGGACGGCACGTAGAGTTAATAAGGAAATTGGCCCTTTCTGAGACAGTATTTTTGGTCTTCATTCTTCCTCTCCTATAATAATAACAATAATAATAATAACAACAACAACAACAACAACAACAATAATAATAATAATATTAAAAATGTTAATGAGAACAAATTACAGCACACCAAAAAATGGAAAAATAAAAATCTCTCTTCTTGGTAGTCTTCTATTGCTTCAATGTCAGACACCCTCAGATTTGGCTTCTCTTGTCTTCAAATTCTGGAAGATTCTCTCTTCAGCCACACCAGAGTTTGAATCAACTACTTGGCCACAGACAGGTTTATATTGAACAAAGAAAATCTTTGGGGAAGCTCCCGAATGGATAAAGATGTTAACATGTAGAACCCACATCTCTTCCTCCCTTTTGTCTGTAAAGCAGAATTCCTTTTGCGGCCGACATATTTCCCACGATCTTGTGCAGATTGGGGTTTTGGATAATGAGAGTTGCTCGACTGAGTGAGCCAGAGTTTATAGCCACAGAAGTGAATAGCTCTGGAATATGACAGAGGAAGAGAAGATGAGGCCAAAGTTAGCATGCCCTGGATTCAGAAGGAAACTGGGGGAGTTTGCAGAAAGAGGATCTGAGAGATTTGGGGAGTAGCTTCCACATATATGAGAAATGGAGAGAGAATTATGGAAAGGAAATTTGGAGACATTTACTGAGTATAATTGAAAATATGCAAACTCCAGAGTCACTACAGAAAAATATTAAGTGACGTTCAGTTATTTTTGGAGATTGGACTAAAGTTTCCTTGCTAAGACCAGGCCACAAGGTAAATGGACTTGACGTGGGTTATACTCTCATAGAACCATGAGATGTTGAAAAGTTTGCGAAGATACCAGCAAAAACCTGTGATAGATATGATGTGGGAGACAGGAGCTAGACTTAAGGAATTCTGGCTTTTCAGGAAGGAGGGAACTCTTCTTCCTAAAAGGACTGGATTGACCTATTGGATGCATATACACCGCCCCCCCTCCCCCAAATCCTTGTGACAGTGGGAAGTAGAAAAGAGCGAGGGAAGGTGGGGGAAAGCCTTCTGCTTCCTAGAAGGACCTTCTCTCTGGGTCTTCTTTTTCTAACGAGGGAAGGGACCTTTATAACTGTCACTGACATTTACCCAGGACATACCTACCTGGGGTAAAAATAGAGGCATGATAACTTTAATAAAACAGTATTCCTCCAACCCCATTCCTCCGCACTCTGCAGAAAACCCATCCCTCTCAAATCCATTCTTAGATTAGCCAAGTGTCTTTAAGATGTTGTCTTCTAAGAGGTCTTAAAGAATGCCTCACAGTCTCCATCATTTTACTCCTCTCCAACTCTGGCTCCCAGAGGTGGCATTTATTGCAGAAGTAACCAATGTATCAATGACTTTAGGAAAATTGATCTTCTTTGCACATTTGTTTAACAGACATTTAAACAGATTTCTCAGTCTGTCTTCACAGTTAATCAAATAACACTTTTGATTTATTTTAATTTCACTTAAAGTAACAGGTATACAAATGGGGAAAGTCTTAAGCATAAGATTGACTTTAGCAGAGATTTATAAAAATCTCCTTTTATAATAAATTCCAGAAATTGCAATAATTTTCAGATAATTGTTTCTTTGGGATGAATTCTAATGGCTTTCAAATGTCTCCACAATTAACATATTCCCCCACTAAAATATCTAATCCAGCAAAATTCATTATAAATGTATTTGTATTTGATAGAAATTTCTAAAGCTTTTCTTCTTGGCGAACGAATGCTAGAGAAAATGGCTAATAGTAGTAAATACTGGCATTATTTGATCCATTACTTTAGAATGAGGGTCTGGTCTTTGGTGAAAATGAATGAGGCGTTCATTACCTCAGTTTCTACTCTTTCAGTATCTCCTGGCAATATCAGAGTGGTGCCTTCGCTCATTTGGATAGTTTATATCTACCTAATAGTTTGAACATTCATCCATTGGTTATAGTCTAATTATATTTTACGTAAAACATTTCCAATAACTAATGAGTAAGTTTTAATAAAACCGCAACTTCAGAAAAAGGTGCTTATTTGGTTAACTACTAAATTATATCACTGACATAATATCTTATTTTCTCGATTTTCAGTTTCAAAACAATTTAAAAAGAAGAATGGAATACTATTTTAAGGGTAGCATTTAAAGTCAATAAAATATTTCACATATGAACTAAAATCTGCACTTAAAAAACAAAAGTACTACACAAATAAAAACAAGCGGTCACACAGGATGGAGGAATTGAAGTAACATAAGTCCTTCATCTTTAAAGTCATCGTGCTATCATTATTTATTACATCAAAATTTTAAATGCAGACATATGAAGTACTACAGGGGTCGGAGGACTCTTTTTTTTTTGATGACTTACTATTAAAACAAACGTGTGTGGCTGCATCCATGTGCTTCGAGGGTTAATTGGGTAATTAGAAGTTCTCTGAATTCATTTCTATATGGAATACAATATATATATTTAAAGAATAACAAAAATATGCTAATTTGATGCTTACATGTCAGAAGTCACCAGTTAACTGCAGCAATACTTAAAATTTAAGCCAACGTAAAATTTTTTTTTTTTCCCCAGGAATGGCGATTTTATCACTTACATTGTTTACAATTTCAGATAATGGTGATAATAAAAAGCAGATCAACTCTTAGTTGGTTTTATTATAGTTTTTAAATTCTCTCAACTCGGCTCCCCTTCCTCCCTGCCCTGGGGAGGCTGCTTCGTGGCCCTGGCCTCGATAAGCCACTGGTGGGGTGTGCCCGAAGGATTTCTGCAACAAGCAAACCGCAGAGAATTTTGAAATTAGCAACTATAATAAATATTTAAGTGCACGTAAAACTTTTTTTAAATTTGAGTTGATATAGTAATTCAATGATAAAAAAACATAGAATATTATTTTCTGAAATTTTAAGATTTTAGTTATCAGCCAAGTTTTTGTGAGGAGAGTCGTTTAAATATGTATTACAAATACCTTGTGTAGGATTCCAGCAAAAGCTGACTCTCTAAGCATCATTCTCAGTGTAAATCGAAGGGGTTGGTCTAGCATTAACTTCAAGGCCCTTTCAGCTCCAACAATCTGCGATATCTATTATGTTTTTTGTGAATGAAGGAAGCTGCCCCCCCTCACCTCCCACAGTTCTCCTTATTACCCAACCCTCAGGAGTTTGCTTGGAGAGGAGATTAAATCCGCATGTCTTTCTGCATTTCTGTAATCTCCACACTGGAAAGATGTGAGGGCCTGAGCTAAATAATAAAGGGAAAAAGCCCTAAATACTAATGCTCTTTTCAGGTCTTTGTGAACTTAAGGGTGTCCACAGAGAGGTAGATTGCTCTGCAATGGACCCCATTTCTTATGCAATGGTAGGTCTCCAGAGGAAGGCTGAGGGCAAACAAAGGGAAATGACATTGCATAAAAATGTCAATTGAGAGCTATCTCCTTCCTGGGAAGAAGCAGCTCTGAAATTTTGTTGCAGATGGAAAAAATGGATTTTGACTCTATTGTTTCTGAAAATTAGTTTTTTTCCTTGGAAAGTGTGTGTGTGTGTGTGTGTGTGTGTCATCACTGGGCACCCGAGGGGATGTGGAAGTGTGTCTTCACCTCACCCCTCACCTGGAAGGAAGACGGGGATGGTTCAGATCCGGAGCGCCAAAGCCCTCTCCCTCCAGCGCTGCCTGCCCAAGGCAGCACCGTGCTGCTCTGGACCGAGTAACTCACATGGTAGGAGGTGCACTGCGGGGGGCCGCCGGGCGGGACTGACCGGACAGGGAGAGCCATCCTGTAGTGAGACCAGATCCTGGTAAGACCTTCATGCTCCTCCTCCTCCTCCTCCTCCTTGTTATATCTTTTTAAATTAAGACATATGCAAAAAAAAGGCAGACTAGCTTGATGGACTTCCATGTTCCCATCACCCATTCACAACCTTTGCCTCATCTTACTCCATCCTCTCACCTCACACACACTTAGTTTTAAAGCACATCTCAGGCACATAAGATTTCATGCTCAAGTAAAAAATGATGACTTTTTTTTTTTCACCTGACCACAGTACTCTCATCTTACCTTAAAAAATAATAATTCCTTAGACTGTCAGATATCCAGATAGTGTTAACAGTGTTCACATTTTAAACTATCCTTTTTTTTCACATTTGTCTGAAGCAGGGTTCAAATAACGTTTACACAATGTGAATGGCTGATCTTTCTTTTGAGTCTCTTTTTTATAGGCTACTTCCGATCGTTTCCTCCTCATCGGGGTGGAGTTTTCCTAAAGGAAGGTAGAGTTTTACGTTTAGGAGTTATATATAAAAATAATATCTAGTAATTATGGATGTATTAATAATAATAACTTGACACAACATGTACTTTGTATCTGTGCTGTGTGAAGTACTTTACACATTTTAACTCATTTAACCCTCACAACAGTTCTGGGTTATGTTGAAAGATAAATCAAGGCATATTGAAACTTTTAAGTTTATTTGAGCAAAACATCAGTTTGAGTCAGGTAGCACTAAACCAGAGATAGTTAGGGGTACCGCTAACAGAAGCTCCAGGGGGAGACTTTTGCAGAGAAAAGGCTGAAACAATGTAAGGAAATTATTGGTTGGCTATAGCTGAAGGCCTAGTTGGCTATTTGTGATTGGTTGTCCATAGGTTTCAATTTTGTAACCTCGAAGCATTTCCAGGCTTAGATTTTGGTTTGCTTCCACAGGCCACCTCGACTTTAGAGCCACCTCAGCTTAATGGCCTCCTTGTTTAATTTATTTAACAGTTAAAAACTAGTGTTTCCCACTTTTGCAGTAGAGGAACTAGGGCACAGAGAAGTTCAGTAACTTGCTATAGGAGAATTTTTAAGTGCTAGAATCAGGGTTTGAATTCAGTTCTTAATAACTCACTTCTTAACAGCTAGCATTCATCTAACACTTAGAAGGATCGGGCACTATTCTAAGTGCTTTACTTGAGTTAAATCTCACAGATCTGCTTGAAGTCAATAGGATCATCATCCCCAAATATATTTGTATTATAGAGGAGTAACCAGACAGAGGGTTCAAGCGCTTCCCTCCCCTGCTGCCATGATTTGCATCGTAGCAGAGCAGTGAAGAGCGGGGACCTACCCACTGAGGAGGGAGAGGAGATACGGTTCAGTCCTGGGACTGGTCTTCCTTTTATAGATGCCAAAAAAAAAACCATGTGCTTCCT